TATAAAAGCAATATTCACAATTTGGAAGATTTTCATTACAAGTACTGAATAATTTTCATTAGAAAGACATCAAATCTACCAAATACTACTAGAAAATTGAACCCTTTTAAATGACTCAAAAATTGAATGCTATTGTTTTTTTTTCGAAATTAACTTATTTTTTCTTAAAAAAATTTATATAAAAAATTGATATTCGCAGGTTCAACCGCTTCAACCGGTTACCTGAATATGTCGAATACGACGGTTAAAAGTTCGTCAGTGAACACTGGTTACAAAACGCAATCATATGTTGCACAAACCAAGCGTTCTTATTAAACTATACGGTTTCAAGAGAATATATCTGCAACAAATCAAGTCGGTACAGTAGAAAGTGTATTTTAGAAATTCCAAGGACATACTACTATGTAAGCTTGCTACAGCAGGTATGTTATTATGTAGTTATTGCGGCATTCACTGCTTCGCTTCTATGTTACAGGGGTAGGAAGCTAGTTTGTTCCTAAATGCCGTTATATAATCCCGTTTACGTCTTGTATTCAATATATGTCAATGAAGAAGATTAAAACTTTATGTCTTGTTAAATCATAAATTTAATTAGGTCCAACACAAATAACTACTGCATTCACATTTTCAATAAGCTTTGTTCATTGCTTCGCTAAGTTTCCTATATTTTGGTCAAACAAATTATTTCGATCAACTAATATACATTTCTCAAGCTGTATTTTATACAGCAAGAAATTATTTAAAAGCAGAGAAAATCAATCAACATGAATGACATCTTGAATTTTAGAAAACGCAATAGTCTAAAATATGAGGCATGTAACTGGGCAATGTGAACTGAACTGTTTGTTGTTTCAATATCGTAATTTTCGTGTTCTAAAGACTTAGTGCAGTTTCTTTTGTGTATTTCTGTAAGTTAGTGTTTGCATAGTAGACAGAGTCCCTGTTAATAATATGGCTTTTTTATAACTTTGTCTTTATTTTGTATGTTTCGTAATCCTTAACCCTCGAAAACAATAATATTTACATATTTATCTGTTTATGCATATAAAAATCAATATTTACTACTATATATTATACAAAATATCTTTCTTTATTTCCCATATAGGCATTTAAGATGTATGCTTATACATAACATTAATGTACTACTACATAGATAACCAGAATTATTTTAAGAGAAACAATTTAAAAAACAAAACAACCCAATCCAACCCCATGAAAGAAAGATTTACATAAAATGCACTACGTACATTACATAGAGCAAAACAAAAGAACAAAACGCACTTCATTAAGGATGATTTCCGATATTTATAGTTATTAATATATGAACATATGTATTTTAAAACAAAAAACTTTAAATAATACATTCGCTGCTATGTACACATTATTATATAGCGTCAAAAAATTATATAGTAGATCTCTTAAATAGATGATACTTAATATCGGATAAATATTTCCATAAAAGTCAGCGTGCTAACGATTTGGTAATAAAAAAGTAACAACAAAGTACTGAGGCAATGCAGTTCAAAAGCGACGAAAAAAATATTTAAACGTATTCAGCACAACTTGGATGAAAATTGCAGGCAGCAATTAGACACTCACCAGCATTGATACATATATAGACATTGATTAATAGATTAAGAAACTTATTTAATATATCAGCACAGCTGTAAGAGCGCTTTAGAACTAGCATGAAATAGAAACCAATAATAATAACACGAATAATTGCTATTTGTTATGGTTTGCGTTGCAAATGAAGTTTTGAAGGGTTTTGTTTATTTAATTTTGCTTTGTATTTCTTTTTTTTTTTTTACATTGAACTAATTACTACAAGAGAACTGAACTGTTTGTTTAACATCCATGACAAAAAAAAAGTTTAGTTTATTAAGAGTTAGCAGCCTTTACTTTTGGCACTCTAGAATTCTTAAGTGTATTTTATTTTCTATTAACACCTGCAATATTTTAAATTATAAAAAAGAACAAGTTCGCTTATAGTGATTGCAAAATTAAACAAAAAAATAAAAGTCAAACAATAATAATAAAAGAAACACTTTTATACTTTATAATACTTATGTGTGTGTTACAATTTATATTGTATTTAATAGTACTATGTATAATTACATTTATAATGATTACAATTAAAATCTGAATTACAAATAAAGTATACTATAATCACATTTCTATGGTATATAAGTTTTATTGCATTTTTTACTTAACAACTTATTTGCTCTTTATGTACAGGTATGGATATCTAACAATGTTTTGTACGATTAATAGATATCTAAATTCGTATTTCATATTGGTATATCAAGTTTCTTATCAGTATTTATAATAAAGTATGTCGCAACGAATTATTTATGAAACATTTTTACCTTTCAATTAACAAATAAATAAACGAGAATCTCCCGAGATAATACTTTCAAAAAAATTTAAATGCACCTTGCTTAGTCTCACATTTAATGTAATTTCTATGTCAAGTATTATTCCAAGTTCTTAAAACGAAAATCAAACCCATTTGGGTATATTGATGAAAACTTGTCGCGTAAAATGTAAAATATTTGTATAGGAAATTGTTGTCGCAATGTATTAATAACCATTTAATACTTATTTAGTACTCTTATAACCGTTTACTTTTCTCGTTACGCTACTTTTCTCCCAAATCGTGTCTTATTTACATAGACGCTCAATTCTCTAACACTGGCATTTATTTTCTTTAAAATTTGTGTATCTCCATTTGCAAGTGAATTGTGCGACAGGATGTATATGATATGCATATTATACTTTATTATAGTTGTAACCTAACTTTTGTATTTTCAGGTATTAGAAATATTCAACTTATCGTGTATATTACAGAAACAATATTTTCTACAATATTTTTATTCGCACTGCTACAAATATGCCGCTATAAAATATTCGAACTACCAAATCTATGTATGTGTTGTGTATATATGCTTTGTATCTTGCTCCTATGTACTACATATATTCATTATAAGATATCGCATATACACCTATGTACATATACATATATGCCTAAGTATGTACGATCTTGATCTCTACTAAGTAAGTAAAATAAAGCGTAAGTAAGAGTAAATATTTACTACTATTATATTTTAATAATAAAGGACATCCCAAAGACTACATATGCAATGTCCAAAGGACGGAGCAAATATATTTACAAAAAATTAAGCTTTTTGTTATTGATTGAAATTTCTTGTTTCAAGAGTGCCTTTCGCTTTCATTTGTATGTTCAACACAAAAGATAGTAAGGAGAAGAATATTATTTTATTTAAACTACCTGCTATGTAACAGAACCAACTATAGAGACGTTGCGTTTCCTGCAGAAAGAATTCTTTTTGAATAACAAGCAAGTTTCAAAATTTACATAACTGTACTAATATTCATGAAAAGTAAATATTTTTTATAAATCCAAAGTCAAAGCAAACCAACTCAACCAAATTTGTGTAAACTTGCTTCCAGAGTAATTATAAAAAAGCTTTATTTGCGATTATTTTTTAAACCAAAGAGGAAATTAGTATATTTTTGAATAAGTATGTGTGTACCAATTTAGAAAATATGATAAAATTTTAAAAAGCTCGCATTATTTGTAATAATATTTAAAAACTCGCCCACATAAATACATTAACGTATATAAAATATAAATATTTTTTTAGTTATATTGATGTCTTTGTAAAAACTTAAGCTAAACCATTTTAATTTTACCATTTCCTACCATGAATACTTAGTTCAACATATAAAATAGTAAATACATATACATGTATATGAATAGTATATATATATATATATATATATGTTATAGATGCCAAATCGGAAATTTAATTTTGTTGCCTACTTTTACACCTAAAAGTTTATACATGAATAAAAACTTTTATGTTTTAATGTTTATTTTTAAGCTTGAACTGGCGAGGGACAGTGGTAAAGCACGGTACCTGGGGACCGAGGGAACTCACTGTGCATGGGACGAGTAGCCATGTTTGAAAAATTAAAATTTCAAATTGTGAAGATGAACACAGCAGTCGTCCGCGCGAGGTGTTCTTTTAAATGTGACGAAATACGAGAGCCACCAAAGTGAACGAGGTAAGTAGGAATAACTTTTTGCAGGCTTACCGCTCCATGGATCCAGCAAAATGCATAAAATACGATATTTATATAAAAAAAAACTTGAAAATAAATTAAGAATTGTAAAAACAAAAAAAAAAATACTGTTTTATTGTGGGTTTAAGTAATTAGTTGCGACAGATAAACAAAGTTTGTTCGATGGTTATATCTTACGTCCCGTGTGCTCCCTCTAATCAAGCACCAATAAAACTTTGAAAACATAAATTAGCACATATTACTATATTATATGAATACCAACGTTCTAATCGGTTTATACCTTTCATTTGGCATATACTAAATGTAAGTATTGTTCTGCTTAGTGTTAATTTTATCCCGCTTTTTCTATATATGTAGTATCTAAAATGAATTCCCACTCATTAGTAATAAGAACACAGCACAACAACTGAGATTCAAACATATATTTTATTAATATTAATCAGACGCACCTTAAAAGTTACCATGTTTTTTTTACTTTTCTGTGTTTATATTTTTTAAATAGTAAACTTTTCTAAATTTATTTTTTATAATTTTTCAATGCATTAAGCACTAAATTCAGGATTAGTGTTATCTTATATTTAAAAAAAAAAACGTTACCATTTACAAGAAATACAAATTTACTTTAGTTCGCTTATAACTGAAACGTTATAAAACATTTCCAGACTATTTTTTACTTTACTACTTTTAAGTTTCGTTTTCTTCGATTTAAATTCTTTTTGTAATAAGTTTCACGAGAGTTTTCGTTTTGTGCGACTTAATTTTGGAGCATTTCCTTATTATTGTTAGTACTTGCAAGACTTAATGGCATGCATATGAAAATTTCAAGTTGGGAACTTATAAATTTGGAAACAGTTCTTTGAAATGAGAAAAGCGAGTAATAAAACAACGTATCATATTTAAATAATTTTATTTTATAACGATTCTCAAGATATATGTATACTTAGTTTTGTTATAAGTTATGTTTCACTCCATTGATTTATGAATTTATAAATAATAAGTTTTATAAAACGTTTACGACCTGAAAATAGCTTTTTTTTGTAAATGCTGTGTTCCAACGATTTGCACGTTCTTTATGAATTAGCATTCAATCGGTAAAATATTAGCATGCATGGTACTGAGGATGCATAAGCACTCGAGCTATATAATAATTACCTCTCAATTATATGAGTTCAAAGCTGAATATAGTGTAACAATTCAGCTTATTTACACCTAATGAAGTACGCATTGAAAAGAGAAGAGATTTTGCAAGACTAAAAAATAAAACAGACACTCATTTTAAGTCATAATAACCAAGCATTTCTCGTTCCGTATAAAGCAATAGAAACCAAACAGATTTGTAACGTTTAAACTGACAATTTTTGTATAAATTCACGAGAAATCAAATGCTTTATGCATTTCAGTAAATAATCAATGATAATAAAAAAAAAAAACAAGTTTAAAATAATATACGTTTTGTTGGAGCATTCACTATGTTTTGTTTTGCAGCAACCTTTTATAAAAATAAATTATCTTTTGAACTCTAACCAATTATAAAGAGTTTTGATTTTTGAAATGATAATTTTTCAAATCTCCTTCAGATAAATCAATTTGATTACATAGCTTTTTACAGAACTTTTTTTTTTTTAATTTTTAGCATTTTTCGATTTTTTCGGATTTTATTTTTATAAACGTACGAATATTATTACTTATTTAAGTTTAGTTTTTATTTGTTTAAACGTGTTTATTCGGATTTACAAGTCTTTCTTTTGCTTTTTATTGCATCTTTTATTTTTTAATTAGCTTATGGGTTTTATTAAGTTTATAAATTTTTAGTTTAGATTATTGTAAGCTACGATTTTTTATCCTTACGATTGGGGAAGTGGTTTTGTTTAAAAATAAAAGTATCAAAATTAAAATACGTACATGATAATGAAGTTTGTTTTATTTGTATATTGGGTTCAAGAGAAGAATGGTTTTCTTTTATTTCCTTTGTTAGTATAAATTAAAATATTAAATAAAAATTTACTTCAATATATAAAACAATAAACTAAATTTTGTGATATATGTATTACAAAGGAAAACGATTTACTGTTATGAAAGGGAGCGATGAATAAAAAAAAAAATTTGAGAGAACAAGTGATTGTAGAAAGCGCCAAATTTAACGAACAACAAAAATTGTAATCGATATATTAAACGATCATGATTGCATGAGTTGTTTGTTTTTCTCGCAAACTACAGATTTGGACTTGATTTGGTTTTCAATTATTACGCAGGCAAATTTAAATATTCCTACTAAAACAAAAATCAGTTTTAGAATAATATAATCTTATAAAGATTACTGCGGTTGTTGTTGTTTCTGTACTGGTGGTGTTGATGGCGTTGGCGTTGTCGCAACAGCAGCAGTTACTGTATTGTAGCGAGATGTCTGCTGCTGTGGATGATAGAAAAATATTAATGGTTAGCGCCGTGTGCCATAGCTGTTGCCGCCGCTGGCTCCTGAAGACTGTGCACTGTTTTGATTGCCTCCGCGTACTTGTGGGCCATTGCCATTCGTTGGACCGCTGCGATTCTCGTTGCGATTGAAACCGCCACTGAGGCGTGGGCCACCACCACTAGATTGGCCTCGGGACATGCTGTTGCTGTTGGCACTACTGCCGCCAGTATTTCTCATCATGCCGCCGCTAGTTCCGCCACCGGCAGAATTGGATAGTGAACGAGACTGAGGACCCCCACTCATGTTACGTTGCGAATTATTCATGTTCCCGCCCATGCTGTTGCCTCCCATTGACTGTCGTGGCGGCATATCGTTATTTGGGCGCATTGGACGCGGCTTTTTTTCTTCAACATTCAATTTCTGGCCGTCAGGAGAGTTTTCTGGGAAGTAAAGCGGCTGTGAGGAAAAAATTTTGAAATATTTTCAGTTCTGTCTCTAATAATAATAGATATCTACATTTCTAGCAATAAAACTTACACAATTTGCTAAGCAGTTCTGAACTGACTCCGGATCTTCATAAGTAATAAAGCCAAAATTCTGAGGATTCCTTACGCCGGGTGGTAGTTTCCCATTAGCTTTTGACATAACTCGCAATTCCAGAACATGTCCGAAACGTCCAAACAAAGCCTTCAACTCATCCTCTGAGGCATGATGCGGTATATTTCCAAGAAATAGTTGCTGGTTGTCCGATTGCTGGGCATTACTTGTGCGGCGTGGTTCATATTCTAAGAGAATATAAATATTTTTTATGAAGTGAAAATTTTAAAAATTATATACTTTCTTCCTACGAATTGATGTCTAGCTTACCTTTATTGATTCGGGATGCATTATTGCGTTGAGGCAATGGGCCTCCTTGTGTAACTGAACTCATAGTGTTGCTGTCAAGACGTAATGAGGAAGATTCACTATTGCGGTTATTGTAGACCGAGAGTGATGAGGTTGAATTGGAGTTGGACTGTGAGTAGGTTGTGCTGGAGATAGTGGTCGCTGAATGGTAAGCATTATTGGATGTTTGTTGTTGTTGCTGCTGCTGTAATTGTTGTTGTTGTTGCATAGCGGCAGTAACGAAACCGCTGGGCGATGACGAAGTCGACTTAAACAGGTTTGCGTATGTCTTGATCTCATTTTGTTGCTGCTGTTGTTGTTTAGCAGCTTCATATTTCTCCTGCTGTTGTTGCTCATTAATCGTTTTAAAATCGTCAACCACTGGTACGTTATCAGATGCAGCCAGTAAACCGGCTGAACCCGAGCGAGGTACTGATTCAGTATTGCTGGTCAAACTGGAACTAATTACGCCATCTTCCAAATCCACAATCGATGATTGCTGAGTGCTCTGCGTTTGTTGGATCAATGGTTGTTGCAAAGGTTGTGGTTGTTGTAAAACTTGAGACTGCAGTAGTGGAGATGGTTGGAAGCCGGGAATATTTGCAGTTGGCGGCACTGCAACGGGAACAGAAGTTAGTGCAGCAGCTGAACCAGTTTGGCCAGTAAGTACTGGGGTAGCTACAGTTATACTTGTAGACTGCTGAGCTACAGGCGAAGCAGACGGTCCAACAATCTGTTGTTGTCCTTGTCCTGGCTGTTGCTGCTGATTTCCAGTGGATAAGAGATCCTCATGACCAACTACACCATTTAGCTGAACCTGCTGCGATACAACAGCTGTTGGAGCGGCAGCTGGAAATGACACAGTGCCAGTTGCCTGTGGTGCAGTGCCAGTCAATAAGGGAACTGGACGACCGCCAGAGGTTGGCACCGAATAGTAAATGGCTTGTTGTGGTGGTCCGCCAACGGCTGGCTGTGCGCCTGTTTGTTGCTGTGGCAATACACTTGTACCAGTTGTTGCATTCACTACCTGTGTGGACAGTTGAGCCAGTTGTGGGGGCTGTTGTTGTTCAGCAGTAGCAGCTCCACTAGCCGCGACTAAATTTGAACCGACTTGTTCATTGCCAGGAGCACCGGCAGAAGTAGCAGCTGGTTGTTGCGATTGTTCATGATCTTCATCATGTTCCGTACGGGTTTCTGCCTCGTTCTCTTCATCCGAAAACACGTCTTGATAACGAAAAATATCGTTATGAACATAATATTTTTTCGGAGACTGCGATGCTAACACAAAAGTTTGCGTAAAACGACGCATTGGCTGACCATCATTGGACAATTCGCCGGTAACCTGGACGACAACGCCATTACCTAGTGTGGCCTGAGCATCCACCTGACTTATCTTGGCATGACAATCATTAAAATTTAGCTGCTGAATGCGGTTGTAGATATTTCGCTGACCCACTACCAAAGTTGATTCGCCGTGTATAAATGATGAGTTGTTATTATAAAAACGATGCAAATGACTTGGTGCACGATTAAGCAATGTATAGTATTGGCGCACAAATTCGCGGCCAACAGATTGTGGAGATGGCTGTTGTGATTGAGTTGCATCCATTACCATTGCGTTTTTCTTTTAAACTTTCGCTCTCTTGCGGATTTTTGGATTTACTATAATTGATTCACAAGAAAAAGTCAGAGTATGCGGATGTCGATCCGTTCAATAGACAATATAAGGGTTAGAACCAAATATTACGTGCTCCGTTTTTCGGTGGATAATTTTTCGAATCTTTAATGACGGTAAATGTCCCTCGGTTGAATCGCCAGTTTGTTGAAATAACCGAGTGCGATAATATATTCGAGCAATTTATACTAAAATAAAAAACAAATATTACTTTTTGTGTTCAATAATTTTTACGAAAAATTTCATAACAAAGACATTTCATATTGCACCTTTTTCAGCCGTTGCTTAACACAAAATGTGTGAGTGAGTTTAAAATTTTTTAATTTTAATGAAAAATATTTAAGATTTCAGTTGTCAATTACTGTTTATGTTTACATTGATAACATTAGCAACAAGTTTACATCATTTTCATACTTTAGATTGAAAAACCACAATATATATATAAATTTAATATGTTTAGAATTTTTATAATGGAAACCGTGTATACAGTCATCATTTAATAAAAACATTAGTAAACCAAAAGAACATTTCTAAATGTTTCAATTATACTTTTAAACAGTTGCAAAATGTAGAAAAACGTTTATATGACCCCTTAACATAGCATGTTTGTTCTATGTTATTTATTTTTGGACAAATTTATTATAATTAACTAAATGAGAAAATTCGAGTTTATATCTCATTATCCATGCTTTGAATAAAAATACCATGTGTCAAGCGTACCTAAAAGCAACAAAAAAACAGGCACATTTAATTGAATACAATTTATCATGTATCATAATTGTCATAGTTCCGTCTGTTGTGGGAACGTTATTACCTCTTTGTATTGTATATATATCCTTTCTTGACAATCGGATCTACGTAAGCGAAATGGACCTTGATTTAATAACCGACCAATACACCAACAAAATAATTTATGCCGCTAACAATTTTAATTCTATTTAATTTTGGTAACTATTTGTTTGATTCCCGTCTTCCTAGACTTTAAATAATAGAAGGGATGCAGAGAGAAATTCGCACATTTGATATACATTTGGTAGACACAAAGACTGAAGATTGTTTCAAATAATCGAAAATTATTTATTACTTAGTGTAATACTATATGGAATAGATCGAAAATAATAATGCTTTATCTTTATACCCTGAATAGGATATATTAACTTTGCAACACCCAGAAGGAAACATCGAAGATCCTTTAAAATATATACACAAATGATCAGCATAACGAGCTAATTTATCATCCATATTTCCAAAAATAAAAAAACATTCCTATCTTCAATATAATAACAACATAAATGTTTGTTTGAAAATATTAGTTTTTTAACTTTTCAAACATTGAACCTATTGTAGCGTTCGATGTTAAATGTACTTAAATAGGTCTATTGCTTAAATAAAATTATCGAAAATTGTACGTATGACAACTAAAATAAAAATGATTCCCAAAAGTGAGGTATCGAAATCTAAAAACTTTAAGCTCTTTGAGGTTAATGTAAGAAGGGACTAGTGATGTATATAAATGTCAGACACGCCGCAACAAAACGCATTAGGAAACAATAAAAGTTATAGTATTCAACATACTGTGACTTTTAAATAGATTAGTTAGAAATTCCAGTATAAATACAATATTTTATATTCCATAAATGTATATTGTTAATGACAATTTTACTTACGCTCTTTTTTGATGTGAGAAGCGTGTGGTTTATGAATAGGTTTTGTAATGCACAAAGTATTGCTTTAGCTTAATGTTGTTTAATTATACAGCATGTGTTTATTTTAGTTTATAGTTGATATCTACGCGATTTTCATTGAATCTAAAGCACTATTCCTGTTATATCAACAGAAATGGGTTAAAAATCTGTAAAATCTTTTGTTGTCCAAGTTATTTCAATCAACGTTTTCTTGGCGTTTCTCCGGTTCCCTCGTTTCTTCTTCACCGTCTTCTTCTTTTTCACTGTCGTCGTCGTCTTTTGGATACAATGCAGTCGTTTCGGCTTCCAAATTCTATGCCTTTCCCTCACGAGAAAATTTTTTAATTATTTGGCAAATCGCTTCCCAATATACTTTCTCACAATCCCCTTATTGATTGATCACAGTTGCAATTTATTTAATTGTATAGTACTAATAATAAATTTTATTTTAATTTAATAATGCAGCTCGAAATTGAACAAGTATTAAGTTGAATTGAAATGAGACATAAAATTGTACTCAATCTGTGCACTATTATTTTGCTTCATGGCGTGAAAATGCGCTTTTCTTTGTATGCGTATACTTGTCCTGCTTACTCTTGAGAAGTACCATAATACAAAATATTCAGCGCGTTCATATACCTACATCTTATTCGCATTAAAAAGCATCATGGTGAGTTGCCACCCAAAAATAGTGTGAAAGTAGAAAACAAGTTAAATTTGTTGGATGAATTAGCAATGAGATTCACATAACGTTATGCTAATATATTCTAATTAACTTGATTAAGATTATTAAAAATATGATCCGCAAAACTTTCGATTATTTAGCAGTATAATACTTGGGGTTAATCCTAGTCATATCCAATGATCATATTTTATATATGAAAATTATGTTTAAATTCATTAGAATACGGAGGTTACGGAGCAAATGCGCTAGAAACTACAGATAACACGATAACAGAACACAACAAACATTGAGAACTGTCAACATGTTTATATGCGCACTATTGAGTTAAGTAAGTTTATGCACAGCTACGGTACGCTGACATCTTCAAATACGCATAGGCGAGTTATGTACGTAGATTGAGCGGTAACTTTCCACGTTACACATCACTGAATGAAATCGTGCCTTTGATGGAGGAATTGTAGATACTATAATTTGAGTATATAAAAGAGAAAGGAAAAAGGACAACTATATATTGATATTCAGCACGTGATTTAGCTATTCAGCGAAGCCGAAGTCGCTTACGAATAACATACTTTCGAGTTTGTCTCTTCCGGCCATTATAGCAGTCAGTACGGCTCGCCACGAGTCTAGAAATTTGTGTTGAATCATTAAAAAAAATAAAGTTGAACAACCTGAATTGCAATATTTTAAAGTTTATATTGAAAGTATATTAGTGTATCCCTGCCAAATAGCTATTTAAAATTAGAAATGGCTGATTCCAAGAATAACGATGTTGAGATGAACGGTGAGGATTTCTCCAAAGACGTCACTACAAGTGAAAATGAGAACGGTACCGGCACCAATGGTACAAATGGAAACGCTGATGGTCAGTCAAACGCACGGGATGACGACAGGTAAATTTATGAAGAAATTGTATTTGCTTATTAATTTCTATACAAAATATCTATTAAATGAGTGGTTGATTTTTAGTATCCGAAAGTGATTTTTTCAAAGTGTTACGTAAAAGTTTTGTTATACTACGAGATATAAAGAAAGTAGACAGACTGGCTAAAAGGGTAGGCGAACTGGGGGAACCCATATTTTCTGTATGTCGTACTAGAATCATCTACCTCTTTGTTCAGTCTTTTCGAGGGTGTGTGTGAATATCATTTGTTGCCTGTTTTTTGCGCGTGTGTGTGACTGTACTTCGCTATGGCTTCAGCACTTTTATGGGTACATTTTCCTGTATAATTAGTTTTTACCTGGGATGTCGACAGTTAATTTAGTTGAGATGAACTTGTAGGCGTTTTTTTTAAACTAAATCTGTAGATATTTGTATTAATGATTTCCAGATGTATTCACAGAATTGAGAAGAACTCCCAATAGTTTACTCTAAATACAACTATTTCATGTATGTATGCATGTATCACCTTGGAGTACATCGTTTGTATGTAGTCACATTTTTCATTAACATTTAATTAAAAAATTAAATAAAATTGAGGTTATGTGGTATTTTTGCTTACTTGTGCACTATAGCACGTTATATTGGCCGCAATTTTTTTTTGTTTTTTAGTCTGCTTTGTTCTTTAATTTTTTTTACCTATTCTAAAATTCTCATTTTCCAAACGTGTTTTAAAAAATGGCGGTCCAAAACAAAAGCAAAAAAAAGCACATTACCTCTTCGTCGTTCTTAAAAACAAGCAATGCCGGCGTTGGCGCGCTTTGTCAATACGAATATGGCAATGCCGGCAGAGTAGAGCTATATGCTATAGCAAGTGGCTCCTAAATTGTTATTGTCGATATATATTGCACTTTCTAGCTTTTGAACGCTTTTAAATAAAATACATTGATTTTCTTTTTGTATTCTCGAAATAAGGTAAAATGACAAATTTGTTTTTCTTTTATACTACTTTGATGGGTTTGGTTGGTGATAGAAGACAAAAGTATTGATTACACTAAACATATTTTTAAAAATCAACACCATACCCTTCCTGTTCCTCTAAATAAAGGGGAAAATATGTTTTATGCAAAAATTCTAGTTAAAATTTAAATCTAAGATGAAAGATAGGTATTTTGGAATCAATTTCTTATTAAACTGTTCCAATTTTCTTTGGCTGTTCGGACTACATTTAGACACACACAAGTATGCGCTACTTTATTCGCCTCAGACGTAATTTTTTGTTAATTGTTGCTTATTCCGATTGTAATTTTGGATACATGATTGAATATTATCGCAGTTATTAATCAATAGAATGAAGTTTAGGGGTGAATCTATCTGCTTGGTGGATTTATATTGTAATATACTTGTATACTCTTAATTATAGCGAAATGGTTAATTTGGTTTATGTGCTCAAAGTGAAATAGATTCGTATTGCTGCTCGATTTACTCGGTTTATTTTTAAAATTTGCTCAATATTGCAAAAGTAAAATTTTTCCCTATCACTAGAAAATAAAGTGGTTGGATATCTGGCAAAGTTTGATTAGAGATATATAATTGATTGTATGTAAGCAAAGTTTTTCACGCTGTAAGATTTTTGTCTTCGAAATATTATTAATTTATTCTATAAGTTTTTAATGATTCTTATGTATTTATATTCCGAATATGAAATTTTTATATCTCAAAATTTAGGAAAGTAGTTGGCTAACATAAGTATTTGAAAAGACTTCTATGTTTTAAATAAATAAATTTTAATGAGATTGTACAAAATGGTCAAGAAACAGAAACAAATAAAAATTATTTCTAAAATTATTACAAATATTTGTTTTCTTCTCTTATGCGAATGAGTGTCACGTAATTCTTAAAATGTTTATAATAAATTAATTATTTTAAGAGATTATTTGCCAGAATCCAATCAAGTGCCGCCAGAGCTAATCGAGTTTTTGGGCGAAAGTCAAGCAATTAATTGCATGTTGGTTAAGACAATTTATAAATGTAAATGTAAGAGCTTGAATATATCGGTAAAAAAGTTCTATTCTAAAGGTTAATGTGTAATTCAATAAATTGAACGGTACATTTAAATGTGAATTGAAAAGGATCGGATAATTTCAAAAATAAAATATGTAATACTCTAAGAGCAATAACTAATGGACTAAAAATATTAAACTACTTTTGACTGATTTCACGTGTCACGGATGCCGTTAACATATGCAAATATATATAAATATATATATTCTAAACGTAAAGAGCATGTAAAATGTTGCAATAGGATAACAATACCCTATTTTCCATCATTGCTTTCCTGTTGTGTTTGAGCGAACTAATCTTGTTCCTCTCCGGCAGGTAATGAGTGATGAGCATAAACAAGCCAATTGTAGCTACGCTTATGGAAATCTCCGCAGATCAACTACAACTCACTATCACTTCATTAATAACAGTACCAGCAGGTAGCTTAGCAACGGCTTCAGCATGTGATCACTAAAAGGGTCAATGATGGTGATTTTAAATGGAATTGTACAATACCTTGATATATTTATACGCGCAATAGAAAGTGAGTCCTTCAAGTATGATGGACACCAAATGCCTAAGACGACATCGAATTGCATTGCCCAGCAGCTAACATCGTTAACTGGTCACTGGATCCCTCACATCAAACATGGCGTTGAGACACCATTCACGAGAAACTTGTCGATGGTATTTATCTATGAAAAACAAAATAGAAGAAAATTATACAAGATACACAAAATTAACTTTAACTTGAGAAAATTGGATAACCATGATGTACTGTTAATATTTTTGAAGTGCTTTTTTTTTTTAAGTGTTTTCTATTCTATCTGAAGTTGAAATTTTAAATTGAAATTTCGTTACTTGCTTTATAATATTTTATCAATATTTGTAATTATTAACTTAAAATATCCAAACGAACATTAGCTATTAACCTTGAAATTAGTAGAATTATATTACAACGCATAATCGCGCTAGACGTATCATTCAAATATCGGTTGTCTTTGCTGGTTTCAAAAGGTCGATTCGGTTATAATATTCAGTGTTGCAGTTTTGGTCTTTTGCATAAATATTTGATTTCAAGTTCTGTTGATCGTTAAACGTGTAATAATGTAATAGATGCAAAATGGAAAGAGAACTTTTGTATTTCGTATCTTTCGAACACCATTCGTTTTTAAATAATTAATTTTTACACCTTTTAATGGCTCTCTGCCCTCTACTCGCAGATATTTGGTGAGTTTGTTGTTATTTGAAGTGTTCCGAATATAAAAAATAAATAGAGTACTAAGTATCTACTATTATTTTAAACCAATCAATTTAAAAACTTATTTTCCAAATTTTTAATGGTAAACATTTTTTCGAAGTCCGAGTGCAACACATTTCCCTGGACTATATAAGTGTAATATGTACTAATTACTTCTTTCTCGTCGTTACAGAAAACTGTTTGTTGGCGGTCTGAGTTGGGAGACTTCTGAGAGTAAGTAAATGAAATTTTCGAAGAATTATGGTTGAGCAATGTTTATATGTCATATGTCATTTTATAGAGGAGTTGCGCGAACATTTTGGCAAATATGGAGAAATTGAAAGCATAAATGTAAAAACAGATCCACAGACAGGCCGTTCACGTGGCTTCGCTTTTATTGTTTTCACTAGCACTGAAGCTATTGACAAGGTTCACGCCGCTGGTGAACACATTATTAACAACAAGAAAGTCGACCCCAAGAAGGCCAAGGCACGTCATGGAAAAATTTTTGTCGGTGGTCTTACAAATGAAATTAGTGACGATGAGATCAAAACATATTTCAGCCAATTTGGCAATGTAAGAAGCATTTAACATACTATTCGAATTACATTCTAATTTATTATTTTCTTTTTAGATTGTCGATGTTGAGTTGCCATTTGATAAGCAAAAGTCACAGCGTAAGGGATTCTGTTTCATTACATTTGATTCTGAACAAGTGGTAAATGAGTTGCTGAAAACACCTAAACAAAAAATATCCGGCAAGGAAGTTGATGTTAAACGTGCAACACCGAAGCCAGAAAACCAAATGATGGCTATGCGTGGAGCCCGTGGTGGCATTCGTGGCGGACGTGGAGGTTTCGGACGTGGTGGTAAGTTAATGAGCATGTTAAATAAAACGTTTAGCTTTTGCTTTTGATGCATTATTGCATAATTAATTCATACACATCACTAACATGAATGTGTAGTAAAGCATTACTATTTCTAAAGCCGTAATAATTTGCATAATTAAAAATACATTTTATTTTAGGATATCCACAATGGCCAGGTCAAGGCGGCTATGCTCCATATGGCGGTTATGCAGGTGGTTATGATCCAGGCTATGGAGACTATTACAGCGGGGGCTATTATAATGGCTATGACTATGGATACGGTAAATACCAAACACATAGCAATTTACAATCAAACTCAAATTATAGTTATAATAATCCTACCGGTTATCACCATAAAAACAGTAATAACTACCAACAATTTAAATAAGAACAAAAATTATATACAAATCTATTTCATTGTTGCTTGAGTAATGAAATGATAAATGATATGCAGTTAAATGTATATCTATTGTTTGGTGTAATTTCAATCTGTAAGACTTAAGTCGAGATGCACCAGCTTATTACTCAGCGCATGATACCACTATACACAACATACAATTTTTTCAAATACCCTGAAACTAGATTCGTAAAATTTTACTTTCAATTACGAAAATGAGAAACAAAAACAAAAACGTAATTATAATTTAATATAGTTTTCTTCAAAAAAAAAACCATTGAATTAAGATGGAAAATTTAAATAACTATTTGGTATTTGCTTTCATCTTTATTTATCAAATATTTTTGTAGAGTAAAAACTATTATGCAAAACTTTTATTGTTAATAATTATTACTTTTAAATTTGAAAAAGAAAAAAAATAGTTAATACGAAGAAGAACGACACGTTTACAGCAATGTACTGGCTGCGCTTTTAATATCAGTGAACCATTTTGTGTACTTGCACCTAATTAACATGTAAAGGAAGTGAATAAAACTGACGAAGAGTGTATTTAACAAAGAAACAAACAAACAAATAAATTGCTTCAAATTCGTGTATATTACATATGCGTATGAAACACTAAATACTTTGTATTTGCCTATATAAGAATGAAACAAGCTTAGTAACTACGTGTTATTAGATTGGACACATTGTTGTTAGTCGCTATGAGAATTTATGAGTAAGAAAGACCAAAGTAAATGAAAAATATTCACTGCTTAACAAGCAAATAAATACCTCCAATTGCCTTATTAGCTACACAAGATAAGAGAACTGTCACCTAAATGTGCCAAAAAGATCGCAAATTCAGTGTCAGTTGATCGCATTAGCAAAACAGCATGAAAGTGAAAATATTCCTCTTGTAGTCTTATTCGCAAATGAATTATACTTTTAATGTAGTTTCTTATGAGAAGGCTGTTTGCTAACTATTATCTTTTCCCTTCGAATAAGGCATAATGTGGACAACTTGACAATAATTTTTCACAAGTTTCTCTTCTCTCATGTATTAGCCATTCAGTTGAGTTGAGCGCGCAAATATATATAACAAGACAAATATATTTTACTTGGTAATATGGTCTACGATCGGTGTTGAGATTATAATTACTATTGCGCTTTAAATGGCTGCTTACTTAAACAACAACAACATACAGAAAAGAAATAAAAAAAACTCATGATTTTCTTTCGACTTTTAAGTCAAACTCAGAGCGAAGAAATAAAGAAAATTTACCCTTTCTTTGTTCTTAGTTTATATGTTATTATTTTAAAAAATTATTGTCCTTTGGCATGTGGAGGCTGTGATATGTATGTGAGCCTCATATACAACAGGGCGCTACATGCCAGTCGATAGTGATGAATATATTTTTAGACGCATATATTTTCGTATGCAACTATACCTAAAATACATATAAGTGAATATATTTTTATTGAATATATAATATGTATAAATGCTACATACATATAATTGTTATATAATATATATATATATGTATACCTTTACAAGCATACTGTTCTATATGGTATTATATGGACTGTTTGCATGAATGCAAATAAATAAATGAAAAAATCCACAGCGTAGGCGTTTTAAGCCGTAAAAGATATGAAATATGAGAGGAAAATGGTTGCAACAACAATCCTTACATACGAGTATGCATATCGATCGGCTGGATAGATGATTGAGTGTATGCATATCTGCTGGCGCTTTATTCTCCAGATACATACATTTATAATCATAATATTGAATATCGAAAATGTTAAGAAAAAAAAAATTTAAACAATACATTCTCCTGATCTCACCGGGATGTTTGTGGGGAGATAGATCTGTTCTGTAGTATACAGATATACAAGGCCGCAATTAATGATGATAAATGCATACACACATCGCAATGACTACTCACATCTAGTAGTATTTCTTTTATTTGCTATACCAACGGAACTTTTGACATTTCAGAACAAAAATCAGATTTCAGACATCATAATAGTAAATTTGACATAGTTTTCAAAACATAACCGTAAACGTTAACCTATACAGAGCTCTAACTAACTTACATGGACAATTCTGTTTAACTACCATTGTTGAAATTTGGCATGCGAGGTTCATAACGAAACCGTTGTCTGATAAATCGTCCAACTCTAGCTCCAGGTTCTGTTTTATTTGAATGCGCAACGGCGGCGTTAGAATACAATTACAAGTTGTTACAATTTATTGTGTTTTGTGAGAAACAATTTTGAAGGAAAAATTAGAGCAAATTATATTAAAAGATAAAAACTTAATAATACACACACTTCGTCAATTTTAAAGTAAATGTTTTAAAAATGAATATTGTTTGTGAACAACTATAGACAAATGCCATAGCGTAACTTTTATTTGAATTGATAATACTTATGCAAGTCCACCAACCAAACAAAGCAGTTGGATATTTTTTCTTTTTCAACATTTGACAAAATATATACCACTAAGCAATTGCATTTAATTAGGATACCCTTAAAAATTTGTAAAAAATATTTTCAATTTCATTTTGCAAAGGAATTGCTGTTATGCACGACTTTCAATTTGCAAATTTGGTATGTCGTGGTGTCAAAAGCAAATAATGAAGCGCAGACATGGTTTTTTTGCGTACAAATTAAGTCCTGTTACGGATTTAAAACTTTGTATGCACGCAAAATACCATAAATTTGTGATTTATTTTGATTTTGAACCATGCCGTTTTAAATGTTTCAATTCTTAAGATATATAATATTTTACATTATTCTCTAAATTAAAATTAATTTTGTTTGTGCTATACTCACTTAAACAGATCTATAAAAAAAAACGTAAACATTTGCATGTTTCTCAGTGTTAAAAACTTGTGCAAATACACGAGCCAAAAAAAAATATAACTTCTTACCTATGTAATTTATATATCCGCCTATTTTATTTAAAATATATATTTGACTAAATGTAATTAATCAAATTAGTAGAGAAAAGGCAGCACTAAAAGTTGAAGTGTGCAAGTTTAAAAAAAAAAAAAAAAGGTTAAAAACAATTTAAGAAAACCAATAAATATTTGAAACAAGTAAATAACACATCTTCGAAAAAAAATCACTTCAACCTTTAGTGTCTGTCTTGGTTTTAAAGTTATTAATTATTTGTAATTATTATTTGATTTATATTTTTTAACTATATTACATTAAATTTTTTGTAGCACTTACTAAATGTGTTGAACGAAATCTTAATATATATATATTTCATACCTAAATATATATTTGTGAAACAATCTAATTAAAAGATAGTATATGAAATAACTTTGTAATACCGAATTTTCTGATGTTTCGCCTCACACCACAAACCTATAAGATATATACCTTATACCAAATACCGATTACCGAATACTGCTACTGAAACAACAAACTAACTTGATACCGTTTGCCGCTCGCTTCAATTACCATGTACACACATATTTCAAAAATTTCACCACGTGATGAAAAGCAAGTATTTAGTAATGGCGACCACAATTTCATCTTTGAATGACGGCAGGACATTTTTCGACGGCTAACGTTGGCAGCAGTAAACAAATTGTAATATTGTTTCATAAATAAGCTAAAGTTCACTTTCTATTTCTTGTTATCTTGCTGCCAATGACTAAAAGTTTTGATGTTGAAGAGTTGCGGTTACTATTGTAGAGTGTTATATAAGACTTGAAATTTTATATTTTAGTTTTTTTTTCTTTAAATCAGCTCTTAAACGTTAATGTGAATTTGTGAACCTTAACTAACACTTGGATAACTAAGAATATTTATCTTTTTTCATTTTTTTTTTATTATGTTTCTAGTTTTTTAAATTTTCACTATATATACATTTGATTTCCTGTTCGTTTTTTAATGAAAACACAATAATATTCTATCGAAAAATATTTAGTCTCCGTAATAAGTAACTATAACTACAATCAAGCACTCTACCAGGTTTTTTGTTTTGGTTTCTTAATTCACATATTAATAATTAATTGTAAACAAAGTTAGAACATACATACATTTTTTTCTTATAATATAAAATTTAACTATAATTAATATTTAATAATGGAAAATCTGGCACGTTTTGCATTAGTTTAACGTCGAGTATGGAATTAGTTTTACACTTCATAGTTATTCACATATTTTTTGAAAACAATTTCAATACTTAGAAAGAAAATTATATAACATAAAATTTGCGTTTGCGTTTTTGTTTTTCTCTGTAAAATTTTACACTAGTAATAATTTAAATCATAAATATCTTAAAAACTAATTCAAAATTATAAACTATATTTGAACGTCCCATGAGTTGCATATGTATGAATTTCTAATATTACTTCCAAAAAGAAAAAAAATAAATAAATTGAAACGCCGACGACGACGACGAAGAAGATGAAAGCGAGTGATGAAGTGAATTATTGAAGTTTAAAAAGTGTTTTTGGTGAGGTGAGACATTCAAAACACAGAAAAGCAAGCAAAGCAGATATATTGAATTAGACGAAAATCGTTTCGGTGTTAAATGGCAAAAAATGTAATATTTAATAACCAATAACTACACTTTTGGCAACATTTGTTAATGCTTGTTATTTGCTAGACAAAATTATTGGGCAAAGTTTCAAAAGTGATTTAATTGCTTGATAGATTTTCACTCTCAAATAATGATTTTTGCCATTGGCATTCACCGAAGTGCGCTTTCGTATATAAAATATGCTAGCATAAAAGTTTTGCAATGAAAATACTGTGTGTGAAAATGAGGTACCTTATATTAAAAAAGGATATACATAATATATGTTAATGCATATTTGAATATTAGACACTTGTAAAGAAGCAGCATTTTGAAACATGTAAACAATTATGCGACGACGCATTACATTTTTTTTTTTTTACTAACTAAATGAAAATGTTGAATCAAGCGTAAAATTATTGGCGGAATTGGTGTCGCTTACAAAAGGTTTGATGATAATTGCTGCAATTTAAAGGGTTCGGGTTTGAAAGTATTTGAAAGCAAATTGTAAATTTTTTAAAAATAACTAAGATTGTGGAAATTTTTTTTTGTTTAGAGCCGTTTTGTGCAGATAAAGGAAAGAAATCCTAACTTAAAAACTTGAAATCCTTTAAAAACATTCTAAAACAGCCAAACCGAAAAAAAGATAAATATGTATATTGACGTTATCAAACGAAAGTTATATAAAAGTCACAAAGAGTATAAATGGACATTTTATTCTTATTGTCGGTATCAGCCAATTTGCAGAACGTTTAAAAAACAACAACATTATTCAATTCAAAAACAATTGTAGGCGTATATAAATAATCTATTATATATCTACATACATAATTATATTAACTCGCAACATTATAATCCAAAACGAAGAGCAAATAAAAGAAAGAAAACTAAAAACCACCGCTTTTCTTACTTCTATAATAGAGTGTTTTCTGTAAAAGTTGTGGTTCTTCGTCTAGATAATCGCTGTTATGGATAACTCTTCACCTTGAGTCACAAATAAAACTTCATCTATCACTCGCTTTTCTTCTTGCCTACAACTTTGGCGTTGGCGTTGGCGTTTGGGTGGGATATTTTCAACTTTAGGTGGTAGGTAAGTTCCGTTTCAAAAGTTCAGAAAGCAAATTGCAAATTGATATACACATGTCTCGATCCAAATTAGAGTCGCAATAACTTTACTCGCGCCAAACACCACAGCCCGACAGAAAGTTCAATTTGATTTTAAAATATTAACTGGTTTAAAGATAATAATACATAGAACATTTGTTCGTCATTAAGCATATTTTGGTACCATTTTCAGAGATTTTGAATATTACCGTTATAATTGAGTACGTTATATAGCAATATCATTACGACTAAATGCAGAAACACTTTTAATATATGTGTATCTTTAATATGGTATCATTTTGAGATACTCTAGATTTTTGAACATTAAATGCTCACATAATTAGTATATTAAATATTAAATAATTGAATATTCTTTTTGTCTCAAACACAAATTGAAAATAAAATTTCAAACCACGGGCCAACAACTATACAATGAAAATGTTTACGCACTGCATCATGCATAAAACGCATATTATTTGAATCAATGCATGTTCAAACCACAATTTTCTGAAACCAAATATCAAATGAAATAACTATAAAGATTACGGCTACGGAGGTGGTTATGATGGCGGCTACGGTGGCGGTAGCGGCGGCGGTGGCCGAGGTGCCGGTGGTCCACGCGGCGGTCCAAAAGGTATTAAAAACAAAAATAAACAGCAACAATTGTTAACTATTTCCAAGATTAATTTTGTTTTTTTTTTTGCTTGTCTACCATACCAACAAAATTCTGTACCAAAATTTGTTAATTGAAAATCTAAATGAAATTGTTTATGGCAAATACGGTTAAATTCGTTGACTATCGGATTTTCCCTTTTCATATTTTCAAGATAAAAAAAAACGAACATTTCTAAAACATTTGGCTTTAATAAATTATTTTATTATACATATTTTTGTTTTATATATGTATATGTATGGTTAAGAAACTCAACCTCATTTTATCCTGTGAACACTTGTCATCATTGCATCATTTCCGGGAAACAAGCGAGCACTCAAAATTTGTGTATTACATTCTATGCGATTTCTCTTCTTAACCGGAACTGGTGCAAATTAATCTATATAACACAACACAAAGACGTATTTATTAGACTATAAAAATAGCTTTTGTTAAGTTAGTTGTTTTCTGTAGTTCAAAACTTTGGCTAAGTTCCCTTAACCCTCGTTTCTACCCTGTAGCGCATGTTGAATTGTATAAATATTTGGGATCCCGTTGCCGCCTCACGGCAAAAACGCATTTGCACATATATTCATGTTCGTATTCTATACTTGTATTCCTTATTAGGTGCCGGCGGTTATCCTTCGGGAAAGCAAAGAGGGACGGGACGCCAACCCAGACACCAACCCTACTAATCATATTTGTTGCAATAAGTTGATAATAATAAACAAGCGCTGGTATACACAAAAATCACACACTACATGAACTTAATTCTTTGATTAAGTTTTTACTGATCGCTTGGAAATTAACTATATAAACGAATTATATGATTTCTTCTGGTAAGTAAAAATCTTTTGAAATAATAACAAATGCTTCTAGAAACTAACGGCTGGTTAGATTTTAAATATACACGCCAAAAATACTCAAATCATAACTAGCATTGTTAAAAACTAACGGGCGCATATTGCAAATATTGATTTAATTTTAATTGAAAATAAAACATATATTTCACATGATCACGTTTCTACCGAAATATGAAAAATAACTACTTATTTAAGGGGGTACTGTTTATTGGCCACTATAGTGGGTATAAAAAAATGAAATGAAGATTAATTATTTTTTCGTGATATAATCGTTTATTCACAAAACTTATAAAAGACTTATCAAGCTCTTGAAACATTTTTTTTCTTCGGGTCGTTAATCTACATGAAAAGAAGTATATATATATATAGAAGTACGTAGTGAAATTTTAAATAAAATATTGATTCCTTAAAAAATTACAGGCCTTTGAACAGAAAACTTAAATTTTTAGTCAATAATTTCGTAATAATTTGGCAATAAAAAAAGTTTGAATAAATCGAAATTTCCCCACGTACTGCTATGCAAAATCCAATTCTAAAGTTAAGTTTAAAAATTAAGTTGATCGGATAGAAATTGTCAAAGTTATTTGTCTCGCCAATTGAAAAAAGTAGTTTTGAGAAAAATACGTTTCAAGTTTCACAATTAGCTGCGCGCACTCGAATATTCTATAGCTGAACCGAGGTTGGGCTGACTATATACGCTTAAAGTTGTTTGAAAGAATTTACCTCACTATAAATCAACTTGAAACTAATTTTTATATAAAGCATAGTTTAAGCGAAAAAAATAATTTTTTTTTTTAAACTCTGCAGTAGCCATACCCCTTAAGCATACAATAAATGTTTGACTGAAGTGTAATAAATCTTTACCTTATATCTTTTACAGTGTTATATTTAACACGTCGCATGCACACACAAACGAGAAATTTGCCACCTGAAATAAACACTACTACAGAAATATACTCAGAGAAGCAGTGGTGACAACAACACCCCATTCCAAAAAGTTTATCATCAATCATATGAAAAAAATCTCATTGTTATCGGCACGGTTAAAACAATCAATTTAAGTTCGTATGTGTGTCCGAAGAACAACAAATGAAAAATACACCGGCCTTACTTTTTTATCCAGAAGTGCAAGCAAAAAAGTCTTAATTCAGCGTTGCATTCATTGCAGTGTCAACTTATCAACAATTCAGCAATCAATAGTTTATTAGCAGTACTTTGCAGTAGTTTTAGATCATATATATTACACTTAATCTTATGTTACCTAATATACTTACTTACTTTAAAATGGTAATTTTTATGCTCTAAGTAGTAGTTGTGGTATGTTATCAGTTAGCAATTTGTAATTATCAACTCAGCCCCATTTGAAAATGCTACTTTCCTTACCCGCATCCTGTCCACAATACGCCTCAATACACGTGTATACATGCAATATGTATGTGCGTGTATGAGATGTTTGTGTGCAAATTTCATTTACATCAAATTGTCGCTCAATTCGTAATAAAGCTGTCATGCGTTTATCTTTTTGCTAGTATACATAACGTGCGTTATGTACTATTTTTTATACTTATCTATACTTACTACTAATGTCTAAAAATAAGCGTATAACAGAAAGAATGGCAAACAAACAAAATAAACTTATCAAGTTATGCTTAAATTATGAGTACTATAAAATGTCAGAAGAGAGTATGGTGAGAGAGGGTGTATCATCGACTAACACAACAAAATAAATCAGCATCCATTGCAAAACACAATAAAAACGAATCCACCAAAATATTCGAAACAGAATTCAACTAAAGACAAATTATGTATGTACAGTTACAACAGTTACATACAGATCCATACAATTCAATACATATATATATATTTATTCTCATAGTATATATATATGTATATATACAATATAACGCAGAAGTAACATCATAAAAGAATTTATATATTTTAATAAAGATCTAAGAAAAAACAAAACAGAAGTGAATGTAATTCAGATCACTTTTGGGCGGCGGCAACTAATATTAACAAATATTGTATATGCGGCAAAAAATAGTTTTAATGATAACTTTGCAATTACGTAAGATAAATTAAATAACCTGATGGAACTTTCTTCCTTTAAATCACTGCAAATAGACTATGGTATGGATGTGTGCGTAGTATGTATATGCATATGTATGTATATGTACCATAATATTAGGTCAAGTAAAAAGTTCGTTCGGTTTTTATCTAAGAGATGGCGTTATTGTCCATAGTACTTTGTTTGTCTTTGACAGTTTTTCGATTGATTGACTCAGTACGTTGTGAGCGCTCGTCAAAGATGGACACCAGCAAAGAGAAAATTCCCTATATTCAAAGCGGCTGAAAAAATTAATTTAGTTTATGGGCCCGATACTGTAAACGAACGTGTAGCACATAAGTGATTTGCTAGGTTCCGTTCCGGTAATTTCGATGTCAAAGATACACCACGCGTCGGGAGGCCTGTCGTCGAAAATTGCGATAAAATCATGGAAATAGTGGAAACAGACCGTCACGTGAGCACTTAGTTACAGTAATTGCTGAGGAACTAAAGATAAGCCAGAAAACCGTTTGGAACCATTTGCATTGGCTCTCCGAGTTTTTTGCCAATAGGGATGCAGCCTTCTACGAGAGGGGCATATGAACTTGGCTTCTCGTTGGCAACAAGTTTACGAACAAAACGGCGCATATTTGACTTAAATCGGAACGAACTTTTTTAGTTGACCTAATATATGTATTGTATCTAACATTAAATATGGAATTTTTTTTCTAAAGTGCCCGTAACAGAATTCGAACCGATTTCAGGTGGGTTAATACAGGATTGACAAATCGAATGGGTTCACAGTGACGTTAACCGTCATTTATTAATGCACAATGCACTTACATACTTTCCACTATTGCAACGTGTGTAAAGGGTGGTCAATTTGCTGACTTTGGAAGGAAAGTTGCTTGAAAATAAGAAGAAAATATTATTTTACTGTACTAAATGTAAAACAATTTTAATACAATGCGCGAGTAAAAGATGTGTGTTTGTGTTGAGCGGGCATACGAGTACTAACTGAATTTAAATAGTTATTACCTGACTTGTTAAATTGCTGACATTGTAACGGTAATGTTTATTCATAGATCTATATGTATGTACTCTATCTTATTCATTCAGAAAAAAAAAAAACAACAACAAACCAATACAACAAATACAAGTTAATTATAAAACAGGAACGGCAAAGAACTAATTGCAACAAAAATTAAATCTTGAATAAATATATATTATTATAAAAAAAATCAATGTACAAAACAACTAATTGACGAGTTTCATTTCTTGGAATAATATATTATATAAAGATCAAACCCATTTTTATACCCTGAACAGGGTATATTAAGTCTGCCACGATGTTTGTAACACCCAGACTTATACATCAAGAGACCCTATAAAGTATATGCATATTTAAATGATCAGCGTGACGCTGTGTCGAGTAGCCGTGCCCGTTTGTCAGTTATATAGTATTTTTATATATTAGTTATGTAGACAGTTTTTGACATATCGATCTGAAATTTTTTGCAGCCTTTGCTCAGAATAATTTGTCGGAAGCTCCTATATTGGAGCGCTGCCATATAAATTGATCGATCAAAATCAAGTCCTTGTATGGAAAACTTTTTATGTGACAAGTTATCTTTACGAAATTTGCATAGATCGTTGCCCAAGGCAGCCCTATAAACTTCGAATAAATTGTGCATATATGTACATAGCTGCCATATAAACTGACCTATCAAATGAAGTAAAATATCTTTTTATGCTTTTTTATTCTATAAAATACACCTGTGAAGAGTATTATACAAGTAGCTTCGGTGCAGTCGAAGGTAATGTTTTTCCTTGTTTTAACTTAAACATCTGCGCAAGTGGATATCTTAAAACATTTATTTTCTTTGAGTGGATAAACATTCGGCTAAGCGCACACAATTACCACATGAGACTGGGGACACACACACATCTACGGCTTTCACATTTTCTGCTTTATATCCAATTTCCTAATAGTTGCGCTTCACCTGCCCCGTTTGAAATAGAATGTCCAGCATATTTAGGAATTCGCGGTATTTGAATTCCAAGCGTAGACCTAATAGCAAACGATAGGGGTATTCATACAAGTAAATATTTTTATATTATATATAATCATAATCAAAATGAGAATACCATCTGATCAAATTTGACTCGAACTGGTCTCGATTGGTGCAACCTTTTTTAATATTAGTGTGAAGTACAGTTTAATCTCCATATGTCAATGTCTATCTAGTGATTTTTACTATGGAAAATGAAGTTTTGTGTTGCCAATGGGGAGTAACTTTATTAGGAACACAAGTATTTGAGTGACACCAAACATACAGTAAAGGTCGTGAAGTCATCGAAAACCTGTCTCATGTGCCTAATAGCAGAAGGTCTTAACATCTCTTATGAGTCGACTCAACACATTTTGGTTAATGTTTGGGTATAAATCATGCCAATGCTACTCTTGTACCGAAATACCTAAATCTTTTGCATATAGTAGATGTTGCAAAGAGATACTTGGCAACGTGCTGAGGACTCTACATTTATTAAAAGCATCATTACTGAAACATGCTGATAAAACGTGGGTTTGTGAAACTCTTCAACAATCTAGCGTATGGCGCTCCAGAAATGAGTTGAAACCGAAAAATCACGTAAAAGTCGGTCAAAAATCAAGGTGTTGCTCATCGTATTCTTTGATAACTGTCAATAAGGTCAATAAGGAATACTACTTGGCCGTTTTAAGGCGTCTGCTTGAAGCAATCGTCGCTAACGACCGATTTTGTGAGCAGAAAATTCATGGATTTTCCACATCCTAGAATGCTTGTGACTGACTTTTTGACCAAATACGAAACCAGAGTCAACGCTAAGCCATCAAATTAACCAGATTTGCCTTCTTGTGAACACTGTGTGAGTCTATAGAAATCATTCGCTGATGACAGTGAAGGCCATCCCAGTCGAGGCTTATAACAAGGTGATATACCCGAAAGTCGTTTTTTTTGGCGGTCCGCGTCAAATTCGATCAGATGTTATATCGCGTAGTGGTGGTTTGTTTAAACTAACCGCGTTGTAGGCCAAAGCATTTGTAGACTGCATCTAGCTCACGACTGCTCACAATGTTGTGCATTTCGCGCACAGTTAGCGCACGAAGCAGCTGATTTCGTGTTATTGTGCCGCAATTTTCGCGGTCAAAGTCTTGGAAGACTTGTTTCAAATTTGAGATTTCGTCTGGCCTGCGCGCCAATTTCATCAGTGCTTGCGAGCAGAGTGTGCGCTCTTCGAAATTGAGGAAGCAATCGAAGCAATCTAGATTGGCCAAGTGTATAAGGGGTACAGCGGTAACCTCTTTGTCACCCATTGAGGTTTCGATTTCAATGAAGATTTCGTCAAGCGCTCGACAGAAATCGCGATAAAGCACACAGCAAGCACGCTTCGGCGAGCGGAAGCTACAGACGAGAAGAACGACAGAGAAAAATTAATCGTAATCTTAAATATGATATGGAAAAAATATAACGGTTTACATATTGCTAATCGCGTTCGATTCATCTGCTGATAGAGATATAAGTGCGTTGTCTAAACCGCGCTTGAAATCAATTTCCAAAATGTCGCCCTCACGATGTCGATCGTAATCCTGCAGAAAGTCAATAATATTGATGCTACGCGTTATTGCTTGTCGTTTAATGTTTGACAGCAGTTTGATAATGTATTCCTCGCTGTAGTTATTGCCGACACTCTTGCTTACTGCTGGGCATTCTGTTTTCAGTGCTTCTGGATGGGGTTTCAGCTTCGGTACAGCGTACTCAGCCGGATCGGCATGCTCAAGGAATTTCGTGTAATTAAATCCCAATTCATTCCCATAGCGTGCCAGCAATGCATTAAGCTCATTATTAGAGAGCAAAATACCGTTAGTGAGAAATACTTGATTTGCTTGATTACAGCCGACATGCCCGCTATTCAGCCTAGAACGGTGTGGATGAATACATGTTATTGAACATTTTGTTTATAGCTATATATGTACTTACTTATCGTAGTTACGGAAAAACGGATGCAGATGTAAGCGCCGATTCCGTATGCGCATTTGTATACGCAACAACGCTTCCTCGCAATAATTACGCATAACCTCCTCGGCGTGGTCCCAATCTAAAGCACCCTCCCTAGGCATATGCTTTATATAGTCAGGTGGCGATTGCACTTCCAGTAGAGGCGTTTTCTCCAGATGTTTGATGGTGAAAACTTTTTAAAAGTAACGATAAGTTTGGATCACAAAAAATAGAAAATAAAAATTAGAGAAATGGAATACCTTTATCGATTTCGTCCTCAAATAACCGCCACATAATGCGGTTTGTATCGACCGGATCTATATAGCGGGTTAACAACATATTCATATCACGCTGCGATAGATACTTACGCACGCCAACATTGTCTAGGGCGCGCTCAAACTGATTTTTGGTTAGTGTGCCGGTCCTCAGGTGATCGAAGCACTCCAAGAACTCCTTTACTCGTATACGACGCTTGTGGACGAAGTTTTGTATACAAAATATGAGATCACACACATCTTTGTACTCCTTCGGGTGATTGCAAAGATCGGGAAATATTTTGAATGCCATTTTAGTGCCGTTAATTGCTGGCAACTCGGAGAGTTCGAGGTCAACCAGACGACCAGGGAAATCTTTAAAGATTTGCTGTTAAGATGAGATAGATATTTACATATATGTATGCATTGATTACTGGGAGTCTTCAAATAAGCCAACTCACCATGGCGTTGTCTAATAGATTATTTTGCTTTAAATAATCCATAATATTTTGTATATGCCTAATGAAGGCTACATAGTTTACAGTATACGAATCTTTGATATAGCGTTTGAGCAAAAGCAGAAAATCATCATCTGAGATGGGAATCTTCAGAAAGTGTAGAACGCGCGAAAAATGTGCGACGGTCACCACACCAACATTCTGTGAGACCTAAATATTTGCAAAAAGACACGAAGCCAAAGACATGAAACATACAAAACTGTTTTTGGAACATCGTCTCTGAACGAAACTTACTATTTCATAATCTTGGAAATACGGAAACAATGGCAAATTGCTAAACTGTGCAATTTTTATAAGAATCAGACACAACCGACGACGATCTTCTGGTCTTGGTATAACATTAATATGCATAGGATCGTTCCATTCCAACCCGGTAGCCAAATCCTTTTTGTTAGTTGACGCAGCTGCAGTAGCAATACAGTAATACATGACAATTGAAGTTAATCAGTTTTAAGGAATTGTTTGCTTAATGAAATGATAGAAAGTACTCACGTTCTTGGCAAACCACTTTGCAGAATTGTTTATAGGCCACACGACCATCGCGCAGACGAAAGTAGTCGGTGACCTCACGCAGCTCGAATTCGGAAAGACCTACTACATTTTTATACTTGCCCAAAATGCTGGTGAAGAGTGAGTCTACAAGGACAACGTATTAAGAAAACAAATTAATCTAATAATAATACGACGGTCTTACTTGATATTAAGCCGGTACAGTTTGGATCGTGCTCCACGAAGTCCGCGCAAATGTCAAAGCCATAACGGAAAATCGTTGCCTGAATTTTGCGGCAAGCTCGCCATATTTCATTCAAATTTAAATTTAGCTTTGATTTGATTTGCAAAGAAAGTTGGAATTAATTCAGATAAACACATACATGAAACACAAATTTCATCTTTACCCTCTCATCGTCCTCCATATTTGAAATTTTTACACTTTTTTGCAAATATAATTTTGTATTTTTTTATTTAAATGTGGAAAAGCGGTATTTAATTATCTTTATGCATACAAATTTTCACATGTAAAATGTAGGTATGACAAAAAGAGCGCAACGAAAATTTTATTGTGGAAATTCTTTCGTTTGATTGTAGTTTTTTCAAAACTATTTTGAATTATTCCTATTGGAAATTTAACCTAAAGGTGAACCTTCTAGCAAGTCAAGGAGTATTTTTAAGTACACCAAATAATGTATGAAGTCACACGTCGTATTCGTTTCGCGACGTGACCATACACCATAAAAAAGCTGCGCAGCTCGCCTAAAACAATCCGAAAATAAATTGATGAGGTTGGTTTGCCTTAAAACCATTAACATTTTATAACTTACTCT